GAGTATGGAGGGATGGACACTGGGAAGAAGTAACTATGGGGAGGAAGTGAGAGGGGAGCTGTTGCATTGTGGTAATCTGTGGTCAATGACATGAGACAAACTATATGTGAAGTGCTGTATGAAAAGTGAATTTGCTCTGTAAATCTTTACCCAAATCACAATAAAAAAAAACTAAACTAAAAAAAAAAAAACCTTGGGAATAAATCTCACTAGAAACACAAAAGACATGCACAAAGAAAAACTACAAAAGCCTACTTAAAGAAACCATAAGATATCTACATAAATGAAAGAACACACCATGCTCATGGATAGGAAGATGGAACCTTATGAAAATGTCAATACTACCCAAAGCAATCCATACATTCAATGCAATCCCAATCCAGATCCCATCAACCCTTTTTTAAGGATATGGAAAATGTAATCACTACTTTTATATGGAAAGGAAAGAGACCTTGAATAAGCCAAGCACTATTGAAGAAGAAGAACCTAGTAGGGGATCTCACACAGCCGGATCTCAAAACCTACTATACAGCCACAGTAGTCAAAACAGCATGGCACTGATACAATGACAGACACATAGACCAATGGAATAGAAGTGAGAAGCCAGAAACAGATCCGTTGACCTATGGTCAGCTGAGTTTTGGCAAAGGGCTAAAATCCATTAAACGTGGGAAGTGGTGGTGTCTTTGATAAATGGTGCTGGCAAAACTGGATATCCATTTGCAGAAAAAGGAAATAAGATCTGTACCTCACACCATACACAAAAACTAACTCCAGGTGGATCAAAGACTTAAATGTGAAACCTAAAACTATAAAGTTTCTCAAGGAAAAAATAGGGGCAAATTTAGGGACCCTCATTTATGGCATAAATAAGATTATCAAGCATAACCCAAAATTCACAAACAGCAGATGATAAACTAGATGAATGGGATCTTCTAAAAATTAACTTTTTGTTTCCTTCCAAAACTTCTCCAAAGAGTGAAAACAAAACCTACAGATTGGGAAAAAATACTCAGCAATGACATATCTGACAAGGGACTTACCTCTAAAATTTATAGATAACTCCAACACCTCAACAACAAAAGTCAGCATTCTTTGCTATTCTCTGAGGATACAGTAAGGAGTGAAACGTTAAATCAGGTACAATAACTCATTGACGCTCAAGCTTCTACCCATCCTAGGTTGAGGATTTTTGGTAATCTTTTCTATCTCTTACCTTATTCAAAACTGTATTGTATTGAACATTATATTGTCACAAGAAGACTATCTGAAGAATAGAGGCCAACTCACTGTTCCAGTAGAATTGGCAATTAGGACTTAAATTTATTTAGGAAATAGGAAACTTCAATTTTTTTTTTTTTTTTTTGGTTTCTTCTTTGACCTTCCACTGACCAACTTGTGTTCTGCTGTGCCACACTTTCATTCTTTTTGGGTTCTGACAGGCTTTAAAATGGAGCAAATACCTGTTGTGCAGGCATTTAAAAAGTGGCAGATGAGTTTCAAACCTAAGCAATGAGTTATGTGTTGGAAGATGAGTAGTCTACTCAGGGAGCCATGTTGCCTTACCATGTATGTTCAGATAGCCTTGCAGATTGTGAAAATCAGGAACTTGTTACTCTTGAACATCCCCCGGTGTAAGCCTCCTTTCCTACGGAATAGCCCAACCAGTGATATTCCAGAATATCTGACTAGTAACCAGGCTCCCACACTTTTCTTGTGTATCTCTCTGTGGTGTCCTCTTGTTTGAATTTGCACCTCATGTCAATCTTAATATTTGTTTTGAGTCACATATGCTGGCCTCTAATTTGCAGTTTACATGGATGATGGGGCCCTATTCAATGTCCTGCTCCTGTCGCCTTTGTGCCGTTCACCTCTCTTCACGCAGTCATTAGGCTGAACAGCATATAATTAGGTAACCCATGTAAAGCATAGATTTCTGAAAGGTTGCAGTTCTTTTCAAAAGTAAGGTTTTCCATTTTTTCCCCTCATTCTTTTCTAAACAAAAAGACATCTCCCCCCTATGGTTTTCATATGAATGTAGTAACTTAGGAACAGTCTGTAGGTGGGTAGTAATTTTGGTTTGTTTTCACCTGAGAATCAGTTTTTGTTTACATAGCCTGTGTTTGACTCAGTATTGGCTAAAGCTGATTGGCCATCATTTGCAGATGACTGTCTTGTTTTTTGAACCAATGCAATTGAGCTGTTTTAAATCCCTAAAGATTTAAAATTCATCCAACAAAATAACTCAGGTTTCAGCTCATTTTTAAGTGTCTTTTGCTGCTTGTATGCACAAAACCTAACTGAAATTAGTGTTTAAGGCAATGCTTATAAAAATATAAATATAAAAAAGAAAACCCAGATGTTCTAGCTGAAATTATATTAATTGTGTTTATGCTATATTCAGTTGACTTGTGATTATGAATGTAGTTTAAAAAATAGTATTGGTGATGAGGCACATGGAAGCTGGTAAAAGAGTAGCAAGAAGTCTATGTGAATCTTTCATTGAAATAAAATTATATACTACACTTGATGGCAGTGATTTTTTTTTTTTAATAGGGGCCTATAGAAGTATTAATATCATTTCTTGCACTTGATATTAGTTTTGAAGGAAGTAAGAAAGAACCATAAGATGGAAAGGAAAATAAAATTATATAGGTATTATCTAAACTGTGGCTTATAGCCATCAACTGGGAAATTCATTAGAATGCAGATTCTTGGGCCACATTCACAGACATTTTGTTATAGAAGGTGAGAGATCGACCTCAGGAATCTAAATTTCTAGTAGGTATCCCCAGATGATACTAGTACAGAAAGTTTGCATCAACATTACATGTACTTGTTTGTACAAAAGATGCGTTTTATATAGATGTCCTGTCATATATTTCTGTGTTCTACTTTCTATGCTTTGGAGGGGGGGAAAAAGTTTTGTTTTTAATTATGGTAAACAAATATATATAACAACACATTTTCCAATTCACCATTTTTTTACATGGATAATTTAGTGAAAAAGCCCTGGTGGTATAGTGGTTGAGCACTGGGCTGCTAACTGAAAGGTCAGTGGTTCGAACCCATCAGTCCCTCCATGGGAGAAAGATGTGAGAGCCTGCTTCCATAAAGATTTACAGCCTTGGAAACCCTTGAGGGCAGTTCTCCTCTATCCCATAGGGTCGCTATAATTCAGAATCACTTCAACGGCAACAGGTTATCATTTTTATTATTATTTTTTAATAATTCAGTGACATTGATTAGATTCATCATGCTATGCAGCCAGGTTTTTAAAATGACCATTCTCACATACTTTGCATTATAACTTTAATAGAATACAATGTAATAGACAGGTTAGCCAAGCCCCTGATGATAGTACTGAACAAAATTACATCTGAGAAACTGATACTGCTTCAGCTCATGACTAATCTCAAGCAAGAAGAAGTGAATAGACTGGTGCAGTGTTGACCGTTGGACATTATAACAGTTTGCTTCTGCTGTCTCTTCCCATTTGCCACCCAAGTTAATCTGAATGACCACTGTGATGTAAAGTACATCTGGCAAATTTTGTACATGTTTTTCTCTTTAAATTTCTGTTTGCCACACTTTGGTTTGATTCATCCTAACATGCATATTAAGGAAGAATGTTCCTTAATGTAACTGTTCTTATTGGGCATTTGAATAATCCACTCAAAAAAGGGAGAAGGGTGTAATTGAGAAGGTGAGCGATGAAGCCTTATAGTGCTTCACCTTCTCTCATAGGAAGTAATCTATATTTGTGCACTGGGATTTACCCTACAGTCAGTGGGGACTGAGAAAATGTATGATGGCAAAGTTTAAGTCCTTGGTGAAGATATTCTGTATGTGATATATACATACACACTTAAAACAAAAAGATGTGTATGGTGGTATATGCAAAGGCCTTTAAGATTGGTTTTGTGCTGAGATTTTGGCCTTATGTTGTATAAATTCAATTGAAATGTTATAATGTCAGTAAGTCTTAGATGTAGTACAGAGAATTAACATATTGATCCAAATAATGTTGTGCATAAAAACTTAAGATTAGTGTGCCCGCTAATCAGTGATCATGGGAAGGATAAATCATTTTATGAACATTAAAGCTCATAGCTTTTTGAACTGACTAATTTCTTTTTCTTTTCTTTTTTTAAATTAAAACTGTTTCTTTGATCAGATTTCTTACCGAAAAGATGTGCGGGACACCCACGTTTATAGCGCGGAACTTGACAGACCAGATATCAAGATGGCAACCCACATATCCAAGATCATAAGCAATGTAATTTTGCTTTCCTAATCTTGAACAGAAAGGGTTTCTTATTTTTGCAACAGGCAAAACAGGACTTTGGTATTTGGATGGTTATTTTAATTAGTGTGGTTAATTAATCTGAGTTAATGACATCTCAGTTGTTTTTTTTTTTCTCTGAATTGTCTATTTGGCTATGAAGATTATTCAGGTAGGAATTACCCTAACTCATCTTTACTATGGTTAGTGTTATACTGTTAGAGAAATAAGTATACTTCAGGTATGAGATCATAGTCAAGGTTACCAGTTATCTGGCCCCATATTATCTCTCACCTCACCCTGTCCCAAAGAACTTACTTGTTTCCTTATTGTTGCTGTTCAGATTCTCTTTTGCAACACTTACCCTTGTACATTTCCTCTAAGCCATGACTCACTCATCTTCTCTAAGACACCCTTGTTGGTTATTACTACTTTACTTAAGGAGCTCTGGTAGCATAGTGGCTAAGACACTTGGCTGCTAACCAGAAGGCTGGTGGTTCAAACCCACCAGCCACTCCTTGGAAGGAAGATGGGGCAATCTACATCTGTAGTGATACTGCCTCGGAAACTCAAGGAGGGGTCACTATGAGTCACATGGAGTTGCTATGAGTCAAAATCAACTGATGGCACCTAACAACAATTTAAACATAACTAAAACCCTGATTTAAAATGAAGATCTAATTTGAACCAAAAGCTTGAATCACACAGGCTAAACTCACCCTAAAAAATATATTAATTATTTTACTAAACTTAACTGCAGGTTAACCAAACATGATAAGATCAGTTTCTAAGAATAAACAAAGCCATAAAAGTCATACGCAGACTGCTGGGTCTCAATTAAGGAACTGTGATGGTGCAGTGGTTAAGGCATTTGCTAATCAAAAAGTCAGTGGTTTGAACCCCCAGCTGCTCTGTGGAAGAAAGATGAGACAGTTGGCTTCTATAAAGATTTATAGCCTTGGAAACCCAATGAGGGTCTCTGTGAGTCAGAATTGACTTGATGGCATTGAGTTTGATTTGGATCTCCATTATATAGACAGTTCCCATATTTTGCCCTGCTATTTATATGTAAACATAAGAATGATAATGACTGGGTACATTGACACTAAGTTATTATTTTATTACAAAAAGTTTAATTCTTTCAAATAATTACACTATAATTCTTGCTTTTAGTACTCAGTGTTTTGTATTTGTTGAGTTGTAAATAATATTTTTTTGGGGTTGAGGGCCTATTATACTTTATTTTAGCTAATGTCATTGTAAGTTTTCATTGGAAGGTAGAAATATTCAGCATCCTTTTATTTATACATTTTAGGCAGAATACAAGAAAGGACAAGGAGAAATGAATAAAGAGCCTGCTGTAATTGGAAGACCAGATTTTGAACATGCTGTGGAAGCTTCTAAACTTTCCAGTCAAGTAAGATTATAGTAGTGATTCCACAATGACTTTATTCAGAGATTTTGATTCTAGAAGCACAGAAAATACTTCATTTTAGATAATATCTTTAATTGCAAAAAATGCAGAGATGCTGTTTCTGAAACCATTTCAGACAGGATTGCAATAATTATAAATTAAAGTAAGGGGGGAAAAAAGTGTAATTTGAAACATAAAACATAGAATCTCCAGTCCTAGATCTTAAACTTTATAATGAGTTTAGCTGTATTGTCACATTTCCCAGGATTTCTAGAATTCAGCAATAGTTCCAAATAGTTATGTTTCTATTACCTGTTTTCTCCACACTTCCATATACACTCTACACATATGAATAGTTTAAAACTTAGTCATAAAACTATCAGCTTTCCTAAGTATTAACTGCCTTAATTTAATCACACAATAAAATTGGGCTGATTTAAATGAAGAAAACTTTAAAATATTATCAAGAACATAAAAGAGTATCTGAAAAGATTAAAAGAATACTATGTTTTTTGCTGAGAGTCCCCATGGCATAAACATCTCAATTATCCCAAAATTAATATAGTAATGTCATGCAATTTCAATTAAAATCCAACAGGGTTTTATTATATTTTGTTTTTTAAATATGGATTAAATGATCTTAGAGTTTGTATGGATAAGTAATGCCTGAGAATAGCCTTTAAAAGTATGAAAATGAAGACTAGTGAAGGAGAACTTAAGTTACAAGTTACCAAAACATGATATAAAAGCAGTGAAATTAAATCAATATGGAATTGTTATAGTGAGAGATAAAATGATCAGTAGGCTAGAACAGGGAATCCTGAGATAGTTTTCAGTATACATAAGAATTTAATATATGATAAAAGTATCGGTTCAAAACTTTGGGAAAAGGTTGGATTATTTAATAAATGGTGCTGACATAACTGGCTATCCATCAGGGTAAAAATAAAATAGGACTCAAATCTTAAACCATATACAAAAATGAATTCCAGATGGATTAAAGACTTGAATATAAACAATAAAATAATTTAAAAATCTTAAAGTTCAGGAGACTATATATACTATATATATCAGAGTTTTTTTAAAAAAACAAGACCAGAGAGACAAGGAAACTATAAAAGAATTGTTAGACATATTTGACTGTATGAAAATTTAAAAATCTTTCAATGGAAAAAGATAACATTTGTAGACAGTAAAAATGAGATCAAACAATAACTCTGATATACTGATAATGTTTTCAACTTGGAAAATATACATTCCTTAAGATGCGAAAGTTAATTGAATTACATTTTAAAATGGAGACATATAAATGATGAAAACTATAAAATCTTACTAAAGAACATAAAATGAGATTTGAACAAATGAAAAGACATACTATGCTCTTGGCAGGGGATTTTTACTATCATAAAAATGTTAATTTTTCCAAAATTAAATTTAAAAATTCCATACATTTTCGACTGGAATTCAAACAGACTTTAAAAATTGAAATAAAATTAAATATTTGAATAAATTGAAGTTGATATGGCAAAGGAAGTGTCTAAGAGTAGTGTTTTTAAAATATAAAGAAGAAAAGCAGTGGTCTTCAAATATCTGGGAAATGTTTATAGTGTTATGAGCATGATTTAATAATATACAGAAGCTTTTTAAAGTTGAAAAAGGCTAACTTGGGCAAATGAAATGAATAGACAATTCACAGAAGAGTAAATCTAAATAGTCAGTAAACATAAAAAGATAATAAAATTTACTGGTAGAAAGGGAAATGCAGAAAAAGTAAAAGCAAAATATCATTTACAGTCATCACATTTTATGTCCTGTTAGTGTAGGAAGAGAGAGAAAACAGTTGTGTAGTCAGAAAAGTTTTGTACAGGAGGTAGATTTGAGCTACTAGCTTGGATCTAAAGGGAGAGAAAACGCTACTTAGGGGAAGACACTGAGTAAAGATTGGGAACATGTATAACAGGAGGACAGAGGTAGGACAGCACATTCTCTGCCAGGGGAATAGGTCATAAACATAAAGAGGAACTTGGAGAGAGTTTATATGCTGTGTGATAATAAATGAGAGAGTGTTGATTTTGACTATGGGCCAGTATTGATAAAGCAGAATAGGAGCATTGTGTTCCTTAAAAGAAATAGTAGTGACCCTTATCTATTGCTAATGGGGTTGTAAAATGGTACAGTTACTGTGGAAAACAGTTTGGTAGTTCCTCATCAAGTTAAACATAGACTTACCTTATGATCCAGCAACTCTCCTCCTAGGTATATACCCAAAATAATTGAAAGCAGGAATGCAAATGGATATTTGTACTCAATATTCATTACAGCACTATTCACAGTAGCCCAAAGGTGGAAACAACGTAAATGTTCATCAGCATAAATGGATGAACAAAATATGATACATACATACAGTGGTTTTGAGTTTTCTTTCTTTTTTTTGCATTTCAAATCAGTCACCAAAATCCTGCATTGAGTTTTCAGGCAGAAAGTTACTTTTCAATCTCAAACTTTTTAGTAACTGAATGATCAGATGCTGAAGCAGATTATAATTTATAAGTTGTAGCTATACCTTTTTTAAATGGCATCCTTCCTGATCTCAATGTATATACAGTCATCAAAGAAGAGGAAAACTGGGCTGATGAATAAATAGGGCTTCTGGAATAAACTTGGTATATTCCAGTTGTATTTTCAGGTATACTAACTAGAAACCAGGGCAGAAAGTGTACTTGTTTTCGTTTTCATTGAATACTTTGAAGAACATGTATTCTCTTGCTCCTAAGCCAATGGCACATTGTAAATACAGACACACTCAAAGACAAATACATAGAAGAAAAATACTTTTCAGAATGCATTTTTGCATTTCAAATCAGTCACCAAAATCCTGCATTGAGTTTTTAGGCAGAAAGCTATTTTTCAATCTCAAATTATTTAGTAACTGAATGATCAGATGCTGAAGCAGATTGTAATTTACAGGTTGTATCTATACCTTTTTTAAATGGCATCCTTCCATTGGGGGAAAATTGGGGGCAGGATGCAGGTAGAAAAGAACTGGATAGCATGAAGGATTTTAAGAAAGAAGGAATGAGAAGATATTGATCACAATATGCTGTGAGAAGACAGGCCTGAAGAAATGACAGAACAGGGGAACAAGTGCACATAATTCTCACAGTTTACTTGTAAACTGAGTTCTGTGGGATTGCAAATGTAATGGAAACATATACCAAACCCTTCTTATGTTAAATTATATAATAGCTTTGTTCCCATAATTGTTGCTTTACCTTTCTAAAATTTGGGAGGTGTATAAAATTATGGTTAGGTAATTTTAAAAATTTAATAAAAAATAAAAGTAAAATCTCATGTGTTGAGATTGCAATTAGTGTATTTAATAGTATCTTGAGTGTAAGCACAATAACTATTGACATCATCAGCTTAAAAATTCTTCTATGTGATGAATTGGTTAATGTATTAATATATCATCTTAATTTATTACTTTGAAGATACCTAGAGTAATGATGGCTGCATGTCTTTGTTTAGTATTATAATACTGAGGGAAAGCAATATGTTTATAATAATTTGTATTTTTTTTCCTAAAATTGCATCTGATATATTGATAAGAATTTATTTTAAACTTAACACTACATTTAAATTGCTGTGAAAATTTAATAATAAACATTGTCCTTAAATTGTAAGGTTGTAAGGAGTATTAACTGGTTTGGAGACTCTCCCATTCTCCCTTACTGGCAAGCACTCCTACCAGCTTCCTTATACCCAATTATCAGCTTAAATTATCAGGTCCCTGAATTGCCAGTTGAAATTGTGTTTCTTTTCTCCCTTTTATCTCTGTTCTTTTTCTTTACAGTACTTAACACAATTTGTAGTAGTCATATATATATGCATGTGTGTGTTTTAGGTATCTGTTTCACTTACCTCATAGCAAGCTCTTCAGGGACAGGGCTTACAGGGTTGAATGTCTGTAGAATGGCACACATTAGACCTTCAACAAATATCTACATATCCACATATATATGTTGTTGTTAGGTGCTTTCTAGTTGGCTCCAATTCATAGGGACCCTCTATAAAACAGAATGAAACAATGCCCATTCCTGCACCATCCTTGCAGTCATTGCTGTGTTTGAACCCATTGTTGAAGCCACTGTGTCAATCCATTTTGTTTTGAGGATCTTCCTCTTTTTTCGCTGACCTTCTACTTCACCAAGCATGATATCCTTCTCTAGAGACTGGTCCCTCCTGTTATCATAGTGCAGTGTAGTAAATTACTTTGTGTGGCTTTTCTACCCATAAGTCTTTGTAAACTCTAAGGTGGGATTTGCTATGAGCAACTGAGGAGCTCCTGATTGCTGAAGGTGTCCACCTGGAATATTTCTGTTGGGAGTGGCACAAAACAATGTTCTGGGAGGTTCCCACTCTCTCTCAGGTGCTTAGAGTTCTGATGCTATAATTGGCTAGTTTGACCACCCTGCCGGGCTCAAAAGGAGACCTCCTGGAGGCAGAACTCTCTCTGATTGCTGGTTGAGGAAGACGTGCTGCTGAAAGAGACACGGGCTCCTGAGACATGCGTTGCTGGGAAAGAGACGCAAGAGACATGCATTGCTGAGTGAGACACCGAGGGACCAGCGCTGCTGGGAAAGAGACTGTGAGAAACTCTTGGCTGAGGGACGGTGGGCTGGGAGAGAGACTGAGCGTTCTTTCTGAACTTGAGTTGTAGCCTGGTGCTTCCCTAATAAACCCTGTAATCTGTGAGTTCTGTGTGGCCACTGCAGTGAATTATCGAACCCAGGAGAGAGGTGGTGGGTGCTTTGGGAGGAACAGTTGGTGAAAGGGCTAGAGGGAGGCAGCATGTTTGGCCTTGCAGTAATAGGCCTTGGGTTACTGCTGTCTTCCTCTTGTGAGATTAGAGGAGGTCAGAACATGTGGCCTCCTTGCCATTTTTGCACATAGTCAAAGTACATGAGACAAAGTCTTGCCTTCCTTGCTTCTGAGAAACCTTT